GGGTCACAGTTTGTTTCCAACAGAATGCCTATAGTCTACAGGGAAATTTTGCCACCGAACTCAACAAAAATATCGTCAACAGTAACTCAATCATTGATTCGATTTTATCTTCATCATATTTGATTATGGCGTTTGTCGTGTATTTCACATAAAATTCTCCAAAATAGTTTATTCGATAAGATATTTGTATAGCCAATGGCATTTCTAAGCAAATAACCGCAATCACAGTCACCGAATACAGGCTTTCATTCAGTTTGGTATGAGAAAAAGTAGTGTAAAGCATGGAAAAGGAAAAGAATCTGACAGTAGAGGAAAATTTTGAGGAGAGAATTTTTAAGATCGATCAAAGGTCATTTGAAATCTTCGAAATCCGCATTACATCAATCCCAGGTCTGGAAGATACTGAGAACAAAATCAATAATTTACGATAGTGGCTTGGTTAATCAACTTACAGAGCCAGCGACAGTTTTGTTTTTGTTATAAAAAAGCTTTGGCAGTTTTGGAAAACAATACAAACTAGGCAGGTTCCAATCGCTATCATAAGTGGGTATTTAGATAGAAGAAAACAGTAGTATGATCAACTAGTATCTTTGTCTTTCAAAATATAGGAAAATGTATACGTAGATTATTCTTGGATATCGTATATCTTCCGGTGGCTCGCAGATACAACTATATACATATCAAGTATTTTATGTGTAAGCTGGCCATTGGAGGCAAGCAAAATACAATTCTTTCTCATTTTCGATTTTAAACTACTAGAAAGACGCTTACCCTTCCGGAACACCTGATCTTTTTCTTTTTCAATTTCTACATGTAAATATTTCTTTTCTTCGTATTTTCGCCCAGATATATCGATGAATGAATGCGAAGCGCACTCGTGATATATTCCTCCGCCACCACAAACTCATGCGATCCGAATACTCAGATCAACACATATGTATATATAGGTTTTGCCTATATATCAGTAAGCATGTGTCTCTTTTCGAGCATATATCTAAGTCTCATAAGAAATTTTTTGTTGTCAGACGTGAAAATCGTTAAACAGACCATGCGCGTGCATGTGTTATTTTCCTACAAACCATTGCTATTCCAAAAAACTCCCCTGCTAATGTAAACAAGTGAGTCGCGGAACTGGTTTTTGCTTTATATCCAGGTTAAATAGACAGGATAGGACAACTGCCCACAGGGTCGGAAATGATAAATACGCGCAGCTTATTTTGAAATGAAGATATATAGGCATCACATGACAAATGTAATTGCGCGCAAGCGACCATCCTCATTTAAATAATTAGATTATCTAGGAAATCTCGGGATTCGATAATGTTGGAAAAAGAATCAACACAGGCCACAAGCGGCCTTCGTTAATTATTTTTCCAACATTTTCTCATCCTTGTTACATATGTCATGCACATACTTTGATTACTTCTATATAAATTAACTGTTTATAGAAGTTAATTAATAACTAGAATGCTGTTTATACTATAGTTGTAATAGAAGTAACATACTGCATACCTTTAGTATGGTATATTTTAAAATTCTACAACATGTCCTTGTTCCGCAACACCTCACCAGTAATGATTTGATTTACTTTACAATTCTAATATTAGTAAGCGAGCATTCCTGTAACCACTTTTTATAGATATTTTGTCCATTTAGTTAAGAAAAGTGTCTGCTAATAAAAAGATACCTCGTTTAGCCTTCTAAGCTTTGGTTTTAGATAATACGTCATATTATTGCTTGGTACACGTTGACAATTCTGGACATATTTACAATTCTGACAGCATGTTTATTTACTAAATAATTCATATTATTTCAGGGTAGATGTTTACAATTCCAGACAAAGGTACAATTCTGAACATAGGTACAATTCTGGACATAGGTACAATTCTGCCTATCATACAAAATGTCACTTCACACACAATTTCCACGTCATCAACTGTTTACCTCTCCTTTAACGAAAAACCTGTTTTATATAGCCTGTATTGTAATCCCTATATCAGTCCTGATTGCTATCTAGATAGATCCATTTCTCATACAACCGGCAGTGTGAGGCCTCACGCACTGTCACTGTAACGTCAACGCCAAGGTCAGTGAAGGGCACTTAGCACGTAACTTAAATCAGTGTTATTGATGACAATATCACCAAACGATTGAACTCAACTTTTCGCAACATATTGACGCCCTTTCCCGTAAAACAATACACAGAACCAATTCGTTTGGACAGCAGTGTTTTAAGTTATAAAAAGAATATAGTTTTGACTCAAACAGAAGAAAATACGAAATAATGTGCATATTGTAAATCTTGTATTGTGTTGTCTTTCAAACGTGTTTTTTAGTGAAGAAGAATGTCTAATATATCCTTCGTTAGCACGAGTACTACTTGTAATACTCTGCTACCTTCACTGAAATATCTGTTTTATTGTCCGTCAATCACGTGACAAGTTTCAAATAGCACATATTTTCCTACCCAAAAGATACTGTCCATTCACCTTGCCGTTTGGGATTGAAAGAAGACTAAGCAACTATTTGTCGAAAATAGTTGAGAAAAGGTCAATAAGTGAGGTAACAAATACAAATTTTGGTACAGTCGACATTGGAGAGATTTTGTAAGGTTACATATTAAACTTTACGATGGAGGACACTCTAGGGAATTTTGATGCATATGTTAATTTTGTCGTTAAATATAGCATGTTGTGCTTTAATATCAGTGTACCAGCTGAGGTCATTGCGGTATCATATAACACTGAAGTTGATAGATTGGACAGTTAAATTATTGAAACAAACATTCACATCATGGCTTTCTATTAGCTGAAGTCGTCCCTATATAGATAGTTAGAGAGGTACTGTTAGGGAGCACGTTCTCCACATGTCACCTTTTCTCTCTGTTGAGCTTTTATAGACACGCCTTCTATTGTTAAATCATAGGAATTTTCTCAAGATGGTATATTACCTTGGTTTCAATTAATGATTTAACACTATGATATATAATAAAGGCTTGGTGCTGCATTGGATTTATCATTTAAAAATGCTTAAAACGTTTGCATTTAAATCAACAGTAAGCTATGAGTTTCCAAATAAAATTACTTTCAAATCTAACTAAGCATTCAACGTATTTGAAATCTACACCTGAATAAACCTTTCATTTGTGAAGATCAGGCACTTAAATACTCGTGAAAGAACTCGCACCTTGGTGTCAACAGTTACAGGCTGCACCATCAAAGGGGTTTGATAAAAACCGGTCTTGTCATACTTAAGGAAACGACACTAGTGTCTGAGATTTTTTTCCGCAAATTATTAAGTCTTCAATCTGCGAACCTGAAGTAGATCACCAGGTAGGCTGAACGTCTGACATTAAAGAGGTTTCGAAAGAATTTAATAAGAAAAATAATCTTACTATTAAGAGTAAAAGGCACGAAAGAAGAGTTGGTAAGGGAGAGTATAAATTAAGGAATCCTGTAGTTCTTATTGTTTTGTTGGGTGTAACGATTGTTTTCCTCTATATTTAGACAGTAGAATATGACATTTGTAATGATTCCTGTATAATAATTAAAGCGTTTTCTTCTTTTCTTCGATTTTAAAGAGTTTCTAGACCAATTTGATCATGTAAAGCGTCAACACGGGCCCTGAAATACCTGTAATGATACGGCAGTTCTCTTTTGACTTTCTCTAACTTATCAGATTCCTACCTAGCATAACCCTAACCGTAGGTGTATTCTTAAAACTGGTAAAATTAATGTTTTATAATTCTCAAAGAGCATCACGATTCGGTAAGCGTTGAAATAGTTTATATTTTTTTCGCAATATAAATGTAAATTTAACTGAAATGATGGTCCCATCTTAAAAAATAAACGTGTAGGCGCTGGGTGATTCATCCGTATAATGCCGACCTTGGAGAAGCGTCAAACCAGCAAACAAAATACCTGTTATTGACGTCACGAGCATGTTAACTTTATGAAGTACTTTTATTAGAGCTCCCCAACACGCTCACACATATGTTTCAATGAAATCACTTTTCATTTAAGTGTGTATACGTCTCTACACATCATCTCCACAAACCAGAAATTCTAAGAAGTACACATCCTGTTTCATGAATACATTCCTCTCCATACTCCTACATACTTTGTAGGTAAAACTACGCAACAAGAAAACCCTATCTGTAATCATTGATAGGGTAAGCAGGCATATAACTGAATTTTGATAGATTTCCCGTACGTTGTTTACAAAATTATTTAACAGATAATATAGCTATAAAGACTTCTTCATCTGCGTAGGGGATATAATCTGTAAAAAGGGATTATTACCTTGAGTCATTTCTTTCATTCAGCTCTTATAAGAATGCTTTTATCAAAGAATTTCATGGAGATATTTACAGCATCAGATTTACTGCTTAGTCGGATCTGAAACTGAATGTGGCTGCCAGCGGCCATCTTTGGTCTGAGCATCGAAAGTGGTTTTTAAAAGGGATACTTTGCTTTTAATAAAACTTCTTGCAAATAGTTCTGGTTAAAATTCCGCAATCACGATGGATTTAGTGTAACACTAATTCAATAATTCAATATGGCAGCCAGTGGTCATATTGCTATTTGCTTTCCACATATACACCATGAGTAGAAAGAGCACAACGCTGTGTATACATTGTAGGAACATAATACATACGCTAACAAAATCATTTTAAACTTCATATGATCATTATTTCGACTATTTATGAAGAAAAAAAACCTTTGTCTCCATAATGTTAATATAGTCCTTTCAATACATCCCGTCACCTTATATTGATGCTTGATTTTTTTGTGTGTACCTAATCGATAGTATTGAACACTCCACACTCATTGAGATTTTAAATTATACAAGGTCGATCATTAGCTAGGTCGACATCTTCATTTTCTGTTGAGTTGCTTTCTATTGAAACGGTCAATAGAAGAATACACAAGTCTTTAAAACTCGTTTTTCTATTCGGGCATGTGTGTACCTGCAGAGCGACAGACCGTGACGTTTGGCGAGGGAGGGGGACAGCACCCGAGTAATGACACACTCCACTTGGGTTTGTCCCTGTCGATATAATAGATTATCTACAATCTGCATACAGTTTGCTTTCAGGCTTACGTCTGTAATTCAAATTTTATTTCCAATACGAGTATATATCCAACGGTTGTATGTATAACAGCCGACAAGCGACCAGTATAGAGACGGGGTAGTATATAGGTGTAGGAGTACCAGAATCAGTAGTACTGGTGTTGGCGGTGGAGTAACACTTGGTAGTTGATAGAGGTTTGAAAAAGACATTATATCATATTGACGTTGTACATGGTGATTTCGATAAAGCAAGTCGGGAGAGTCTCCCAATAGTTCAACAAAATAGTCATGATTCCAAAGGAGTTATTTGTCTTGATGGTGTTCGTCTGTGTTTGGACTACGGCAGCTGCATCGAGTACCACTATGTCTGCAACCACAGCTGGTGATGAGTCCACGACGACAGCGGCACAAGCCACATCGAGTACCACTAGGTCTGCAACCCCAGCTGGTAATGATGCCACTACGACAGCGGCACAAGGTCCAACGAGTACTACTAGGTCTGCAACCACAGCTGGTAATGATGCCACTACGACAGCGGCACAAGGTCCAACGATTCCCTCTAGGCCCTCTAACGACAGCGGGGAACCATGTAAGTATACAAAAAGTCACGAAATCACACAGAGAAGGGGAAAATTAGGGTACGGGAATATTTTGGGAGACCTTCCAAAATACGTTTACGCTCTTTAATGTATATATTCCGTGATTATACCTTTAGAACGTTTATAAATGTCAATGTTTATTGAGAGACGCATGGAACTTCCCAGTGGGTATACACGAAGGGATGGTGAGTTTGATTCGAGTAGGGATGGAGGCTCGTACAGCCTCGCATCAATTTTCTTACGTACCTACGCTGTTTGTCGGAATATTTCTGTTTAAGGTATGTTTATTTCTGCACGAAATACACAAAAATACATTGAAAGTATCTATTATTTATTTATTTGGCTTTTGTTATTTATTTTTCAAATTTATCATGTCAGATTTCAATCGATATTAATGGGGAGCTCTTTAGCACAAATAGTGTAAACGGTATTCAATTTGATTTTAATGACTATTATCATTCCAAATACTTAGGCATGTGTTGCCGCTTTAAAACTTGTTGTTCCACAAACTAGCAGACCCGATAATTAATCACTACCGTATATGGAATCATATTCGTTTAAAGTTACAATTCCATGGCTATGTTTATATTTTTTCAAAAAAAATGTTATCACATTTAAGAAAAGAAATGTTGTCTAATGAGTAAAGATATCATATGACAATGAATGCGAGTAGAATTTTGTTTAGTAATGTATATATGACGGGGTAACACTGTCTAGTTACATAAATCACTAGTTCCGAAGTGGTTGTTGATATTTTTATATATTTCTTTTATTTATTTCTTTTTTTATTCTAAAACATAACTTTAAATCAAAATTATAATGATGAGGAATTGATGTATATGGGAATGGAGATTATCCAGTTGACTAGTAAAATAATCGATGAGGAAAGAGTCCGACAACTTACAAATCATCGACATGTATAAATGATCGGGTTGGTGTTTTCATTAGATTTTCCTCCAAAACATTTGCCAGCTGATAAATACTCATGCAGTCAATCGTGACTACCAGTGACCATATTTTATAACCTGCCTCCGGATTCTTGAACGTGTGGTACACAGCACACAAGGTTAGTGGTCGCCCGATCATTACCTTCGAATAAAGGATAAAAAGAGAATCTATGTAGCTTAGTGTTGAATGGAACAATTGGTTCTAAACGACAAATTCAGGCAAGTGTGGTGTTATTCTATAACTTGTTCAACGAAATAACACACCCGATAATTTACCACTGTCATATATACAGGGAATCATATTCGCTTCAAGTGAAACTTCCATGTCTATTTCAAAAGAAAGGTCGTCAAATTTAAGAGAACCGTACTCTACCGAGAAAAAATATTAAATGACCATGAATGTGAGGTGAATTTTGTTCGGGGATTTACTACACTGTAGGTAAGGTTGTATAGGAGTGGTTTGTATAGAAATATAAATGACGAGGTAACACTATCTTTTGATAAATATCACTGGTTCTCAGCCGTGGTATCTGATTGCATGTATGTCACAAAAAATAAGCTCGCATTTTGTTGTTTTCTAGTTGAAAATCAGGATTTCATGATAGGAGGAAGGGGTGTACATACATGATATAGTGAAGACACGAACACTAAGGGAGCCCGAGTCAAACGAAATATTGATCTGATTCTTCATTGCAACACTTGGGGCCTCTAAGGAATCGGAACACAAATCGGATCAGTACCAAAATCGGATCATTATTTGCAAATATATTTTTAATCAATAAATGTGTCAACAGTTCAGTTATTACATGAAGAATAAATAGCCATGCATCACTTTATGTTGTCTACATATGGTTAGTTTTCAAGTTCAAATAGCAATAGAAGTTTCATTTAGCTTTTTGTTTACATTGCTTGAAAAACTGGCGCGGATGAATACTGTGCATTCTGTTTATGACAAAATTTGTCATCATACACATTCCAAATGTCATCATAAAATGTTAAAATGCTGATAACAAATATATTTTTTCAAAGCGTAAGGTATAACAAACTTCCGTATATCTTTTATTTTCTCTCTAACTGATTTCTTTACCTGAATTCATTCTGGCACGGTTACATGTAACATGAAATCCTAGATTATGAACAAATTATCTGTTGTAGCAGGAAGTTGTATATTTGTAACGCCATAGTAGGGTGTGATAACATTGTCCCTTTCACCATATTTACGTTTTGGAATACTTAAGAAAGGAATTATCATTCTGTTGACCTTAAGTACGTGTAATGTTTGGTTTGGTTTGTTTGTGCTTAACGTCCTATTAACAGCTATGGTCATTTAAAGACGCGCCAGGTTTTAGTGGTTGAGAAAGCCGGAGTTCCCGGAGAAAACCACCGACCTACGGCCAGAACCTGACATGAACCGCGACCCAGTGGTGGAGGGCTAGTGGTAGCAGAATGTCAGACGCGTTAACCACTTGGCCCCCGCGGCCCCGCACGTGTAATGAGGCCTTTTTTAAATGGTCCTATGGTGCAATAACGCATTGTCTTTGTTTGGCTTCCTGCATCGACAAACAAAACTTTTAAAAAGCTTCCTTCCTACGCATTTCTAGTGACTATTTTCGGTGGTGTATCCCTAGTTAGATATTGTTACTCAGTTGTCAGAAATGTTTGGCCGCGTGAGCATCATGCGGCTGCGTCCAGGTTATGACATTTCAGACATTGCTTAGCTCACTCACCCCTAAAGTCACAGATAGAACCTACCAAATCATGTACTTGGCAAGACCAGCTTAGATATTAGGGGTGAATGAGTTAAAGTGGCCCTTGAGTGGCCCCGTCATTGATTTTTGGTAGATATTAGTTATTATAACGAGTGCAGTAATAAATAGGAAAAATACTCCATCTTTTAACTGTAAAAATAGCAGTCACTATTAGCAACACTCCGCGTAAGGAATCCTCTTGGTTTGTCACTTAGCCGTAAGCAGTAATCGTAGTATGATGAACAAAATACATATATATAGAAACATATGTTTCGGGATTTAGCTACACTGTATCAGTGTTCCTGTCGGTATGAACACAATTTTTGTTGAATACTCATTTTATGAATCTTGTTAATACTCGCAACAGAATTTATACAGGTTTCACCGCAGATAATGTGATGAAGTCGGAGTTTTTATGGGCCATTTAACTTACCTTTGTCCTTTTAGTCAACTTTGACCGGCCAAGGAATGACAATAACACTGTTTTATGGCGTCAACTCATTGTGTATTACTGTGATGTCATGATTCTTGGTCTATAACAGGTAGCACGTGTAAAATGTCCGGTAAAATGAACGTTTTGGCATGAAAGTATCTGTTTCTGCGATGTCAAATTAAAGTCAAGCAGTGCACCTGTGTGTAAATATTTATGGATAAAAATCATTACAGATAGTTCAATTATATAATTGAAGATGGGTTCATTTCAATTGAAATAAAAACACTTTTTTGTATTCACCCTTCATTATTATCAATAGGTACATTCGTGTTGAGACTACAAATGAATGTGTCCTATTTATATTTCACCGCAATTAATTTGAAAGGGTATTAATGAAATTAACCTTTCTTCCATTTTTAAAGATACGTGCAGTTATTTTATCGTGTTAATTTGGCGTTCTGAAATTGAAGTGTCCCTAACTCTTTTAAGGCATAATGTTGATAGGGTGGCTTTAAAAAACTAAAAAAAATTATTAACTCGGCTCGGATACACCTGTAATTAGTCAGCAGTCGTGGTGGAACGTTTATCTCGTCTGGTTATACCTGTCCGACCTTGGCCGACGTCTAGGTACACTTGACACCGATTTCTCACGCGAGTCGCCAGTCCCTCTAATTGATTAAAAGGCAACTTGTTTGATCTTGATGTAATCCTATATTGAGCCTTCTACCTTTGACAGACGTTGAGAACATCCTTTCCATTTACAACGACAGTGGTCCCTCGAGTCGTAGGGATAACAATGCTCACTAACTTGTAAGTTATATCACAACCATGTATACATGTATCAGCATAGTTAATTAACTTACAAGCATGCTATCTAAATCTTTTGTTTTAATTATTAAAATGCAGACGGCTTTTCGTGGGAGTTCCCACCATTCGTATCATAGACAGACTATTATTCCTCAGGTCGTTCTATGGCACAATGGTTGTATACCTTTCCTTTAATAAGGAACATTCATCACTAGGCGTTTTCGTTTTAACCTCGCCAAAAGAGAACAATTAAAACGTTGACATCTCTGAGGAAATCATATAAAGTATTGATTATTATAGCATGTAAGACTTTTAAATGGGTAACATTATTATAACGATGAAACATACTTTCCGTATACCATTATACAAAGACAGAAACTGAATGACTTGTCACCAACGATAAGTCGAATAAATACAATCTGCTCAACAAGTTTTCTCGTCGCTCTTTACTATTGTATAAGTCTTTGTCGTCCTTGACAAGTTAGCATTCCTCGTAAATTATCATCATTACCATCCCTGATAAATTATCAGCCCTGTTAAGTTATCTTCCTTCTAAATTATCATTTCTGATAAATAGTCATTTCTTCTAAATTATCTTTTCTGATAAATCATCATTCTGATCAATCATGTCTGATAAATAGTCATTCCTGATCCATGGTCACCTCGGATTTACATTCGTTCCTGGTCAATTGTAAACCCTGACGAATTATCTCATCAACGTATCAGTCTACATGATTATACTTCATGAAACTTCGAAATCCAACAGTTCCACGTGCTCTAGATATCAAATATTTACTCTGCAACTATAGAGTTTCTCATGGGGTCGGTACTTAACACTTAGTTATTTCATTGGTTTAAGCCATCCAAACATTACCAAGACTAATAGACAGTAGAACCTATGCATGGAAGATTATTAAAGAGCTACCATGAGCTCGAAGCCAGTCAATTTTACCGTATCGCTGTCTACCATTCACTTTGATTTTAAACCAAATCATTAATAAGATAAGAGATATGCAGGATTCCGTATCAGTTGCCAATCCAGAAGGTGGCGCGAA